TCCCACTGGGGATGTGCCCGCAACCAAGGTACATGCCCTTGACCGGAATCAAACCTGGGACCTTTCAGTTCGCAGGCCGACGCTCTATCCACTGAGCCAAACCGGTTTCGGCTAAAATCTATTTCTTAACTCATCCATTTTTGGAAATGGAGAATAGAGGAGAGAGCAGGTAGGCTTGATTTTAGTGAGAGAAACTAATTAAACAATTAGGAGAAGAAGAGAGCAAGAGAGGAGTGGAAAGACAAGCATTGAAAATATTGACTAACATAGAAAAAGAAAGGAGTAGAGTGCGTAGACTTGGAGCAGGTCACAGGAAGTTAGATATATGCATAAGCCAACAGAGACTATAATAATAAGACAGATAAAGAAAATCAATTTTTAACAAAGGGTAAAAGGAAAGGAACGATTAAAACTACAGCAGGGATAGGGGAAGAGAAAACAGTATGAAAGAGGGAAGTGAGGAAGAGAAGTGTGGGGAACAAAAAGAAAAAATAAGATAAAATAGCAATAAAATAGAATGAAGACAAAATAATACGAAAAAATAAAAACAAAAAAAATAAAGAAGAAACTTTTGTTAAAGAAAAGATTAAAAAGTAAAATAAACAAAAATGTGTTGTTCATTTCAGGTGAGTTTTAATGCCCTATGGGTGCTTGTTCAAGACCCCACTCTTCTGTTCTTTCTACCACTTCTCAGTTTCCTGTTAGGTAGTTAGCACCATGTTGAAGTTCCAAGCAATCCACCGTTCCTCTGTTTTTGTCTATCTCCACATCCTTAGCTGCAAGCAAGCAGGACCTATCTGCCCACTTTGCCTGTCTGTCTGCTTTCAGTCTTAATTACTCAAGTATCTGTTTCTGCCAGGGCTTTAGGTGTGTGTGTGCGTGCGTGCGTGTGTGTGTGTGTGTGTGTGTGTGTGTGTGATAGCACTTTCCAGGAATGTAGGCCTCTCTTCAACCCAGTCCCTGAGGGCTCTTTGGGGCTATTCAGTTTTTGTGTCCTTTGTACAGTTCACAGTGTAATCTGGGAGTGGCTGTATTAGCTTCTTTGAGGCTACTGTGAGAGGCTGGTCTTCAGGAGAAAAATGGCTGCTTATGTTTGGAGGGTCCCAAATGTCCCATTGCCAGATTCCTGGTCACCTCTTCCCGACCTGCTTTCCTCCATGGATTCTCCCCAGATTCCACAAGTCCACACCTCCACCTGAACTGTAGCCATGTGTTTGAAAGGTCCTATGAACTGGGTTTAGTGAGTAAAAGCAATGAGAAAACAGAGGTAAAACAACCATGCAACTTTCTCTTCCCCCAGCACTGCGCAGCTTGGGCAGCTGCCTTTCTGGGCTCAGCCTCTCATGGCTGTGGACTTAGATCTAGAATCCCCTGCCACTGGCAGTTCTATGGATTTCCTTTCCACAGTCAGATGTTACTTCTGTTTCCAAGGAATGTGGAATTGGTGCAGTGCAGCTTCCTTCTCACCCTCTTGGCCTGGTGGCCTTGCAAATCTCTCCAGCCCAGACCCATTATCCTACCATTCTCCAGGTGTCCTCTGCCCTTCCTGGCTGGGAATTGTCTGACTATCTGTTTCTACTTTACCAATTCCAGATGGATGGTATTCAATTTAGTTGCTCCTTCTATCTGCTCTGGAAGGCCCAGGACATGTCTACCTAATCAGAAACCATTTTTCCCTCTCTGGGTTCACTAGATTTTGATCTGATGTTGTTTAATCTTGTCCCTTGGTGTATTTATCCTTAGCCTCCTGGGAGCATATCTAGTGCTGGTGAATATGAGTCACTGTCCTTTTTTCCCCCTGGGCAAGCTGATTTATGTTTGAGAGGTTGAATTCCTTTGTAGTCTAGTGGTTTGGGACACCTTAGCCCAGATGTTGGGTCTGCCTTGAGGCTCACACCTTGATTGACTCTGTTCTTAGCTGTACTTCCTTCCTTCATGAAGCTGGTCCCACAGGTGTCAGCTGCAAGTGCTTGGAGTCCCACTGGCTTTTGCATTGCCGAGCAGTCCAGGATGGTGTCTGCAGTGGAGACCCAAACTGCTGTATCTGACTAATTAGATTAGGCAAAAACTCAAAGCCTCCAGAGACTTTCCTCTTTTTGCAGACTGATTGGATCCAAGTGGGGTGAGAGAATTTCCAACAGGGTGGGACAATCGCTTCTTACTGTAGGTTATCTGTTATTCTCAGTTTCTTAATGGGGCTCAGATGCTCCACAGGGTGGGCAAGGGATCTTCCAATAGGATTGGTAAACTATCTTCTTCCCAGGCAAAAACCTCCTGTATAGCAAAGTCATGCCTGAGAAAGTTGACCTCTGCAGGCTGAGGGAATGACTCAGCACAGAAAACGAGTGTCTCCTTCTGAGCTGTAATCCCCGGTCCCCCAATTCAGGTTTATCCTGACACAGCTCAGTCCACTCTGCCCTCTTGCCGCTGGAGCCCACGGTGAGTGGCTGCACTCAAAATTTTGTGCATTGGCCCTTTATGAGGTTGCCTACATTTCCAGCAGTTTCTCCCTGGCTGACCGCAACCCTGCTGCTTTCTACAGCCAGATGTTCCATTGGCACCTTTCTCAATTCAGGTGCTCCCTGCTGTGGGACCTAGCTTGCGAATAAACCACAGAGTTTTTAGTAGCAACCCCCGACAGCAGAGATATCCCTCTGGTACTAAAGCTGCTGTCTGTGGGAGCACAATGAGCCATTTGGTGCCTCTGCCTTTCCTACCAGTATCTATGCCGTCTCCAGTGCCCATCCTTAGTTTTCAGGGTGCTCTTCAGCTAGTCTTCTGTTGATTTTTCAGGGTGTTTTTGTTTGTTTGTTTTGTATTTTACTTGTAAATACAATTTGGTCCTGGGAGCATATCTGTGGGCTTCCACATACTCTGTGTCCATTTTTAATCCATTGAGATGCTTTTTATTTTGATGTATTCCCATTTGTTTCTCTCTCTCTTTCTCTATTTCTCCCTCTCACTACAGTAGTCACTTTAGTATTTCTTGCAGTGCTAGTTTGGTGGTGACAAATTCTTTTATCCTTTTATTTTTGTCTGGGAAGTTCTTTATTTCAGCATCTATTTTAAATGACAGCCTTGCTGGATATAGTAATCTTGGTTTCAGATCCTTGCTTTTCATTACCTCGTATACTTCATGCCATTCCCTTTGGCCTGTAGAGTTTCTGATGAGAAATCAGCTGACAGCCTTATGGGAGCTACTTCCTAGGTAATAAATTGCTTTTATATTGCTGATTTTAAGATTCTCAATTTGTCTTTAATTTTTGGCATTTTAATTGTGATGTGTCTGGGCATGGGCTTGTTTGGGTTCTTCTTGCTTGTAACACTCTGTGCCTCGTGAACTTGTGTGACTTTTTCCTTCACGAGATTAGGGAAGTTTTCTGCCATTATTTCTTCAAACACATTCTCTATCCCTTGCTCATTTTCTTCCCTTTCTGGCATTCCTGTTATGTGAGTATTGTTATATTTCATGTTGTCCCACAGCTCCTTTAGTTCCTCCTGGTTGTTTTAAAAATATTTTATTGATTTTTTACAGAGAAGAAGGGAGAGGGAATAGAGAGTTAGAAACATCGATGAGAGAGAAACATTGATCAGCTGCCTCCTGCACACCCCCCACTGGGGATGTGCCCGAAACCAAGGTACATGCCCTTGACTGGAATCAAACCTGGGACCCTTCAGTCCGCAGGCTGATGTTCTATCCACTGAGCCAAACCAGTTAGGGCAGCTCCTCCTGTTTTTTAATTGGTGTTTTTTGTTTGTTTGTTTCCTTTTCTTCTGTGATTGAGTCATGTTTTTCTACCCTGTCTTCTAGTTCACTGATCCATATAATGGCTTCCCCTAATCTTCTGTGGTTATTCC